TCGGATCGAAGTGGACCGGAGTCGGGTCGAAGCGGACCGGAGTCGGATCGAAGTGGACCGGAGTCGGGTCTAATCGGATCGAAGTGGACCGGAGTCGGGTCGAAGCGGACCGGAGTCGGATCGAAGTGGACCGGAGTCGGGTCTAAGCGGATCGAAGCAGACCGGAGTCGGATCGATGTGAATCCAGCCTAAATCTCATGGTTTTACGTTCCTGTCAGAAACTGATTGCTGTTGAAGTTGTCGGCTCATTTTGAGAAATTATTTTCTGTCAGTTCGACCATCATCCTAACTCTTGTTTCCCACCGGGTCTCTGTAAAGTAACTGAAGTTACTCTGATCTCACTCGGCTGTGAGTTCTTGCTCCACGTTAAAATGTGTAGAAATATTTTAATCAAGCAGAAATAAGAAACTCTAGTAAAAACTAAACCACCCACATTTACCTAGCTCTTTAAGCAGGGAGCCGTTCTCCGACTTCCACCTCTCCTTTTTCTTGCTGGTGCCATGCTTCCTTCTCTCTTTCCTTTTATCCTTCACTCCATCCTGCTTCCTCTTTTCTGCCTTCTGGGTTTTCTCTGCAGGGAGACAGAAGACGGGCTCAGGTTAGGGATTTAGCTGATCTACTCAGTTTAAGGTAGATTTAGCTGGAAAGTAGCAGCCTGGGGAACCGAATCATTCCAGGTTGAAGTGAAGCTGCACACTCATCAGAATCTGGTTTCCTTTTCTGTCGGCGTTTGATTTGTCAAGTAGAGCCTCGTTTACATCTGGGAGAAGCGACGCATTAACTGCTGTGTCTGAGCCGTCAGCCCTGGGCGACAAAAATGCTCCTTCTGCACCAACATTGTGAAAATATTTTAGTTATTGTCCATTTGTGGCCTTTGGATTATTTTGTGTGGCAATTCAAGAATGGCACAAATTTGGCCATCCAACATTTAACATTTTCCTTTTAAGAAGATTTAAATTCGCCACAGAAAATAAACTAAAAAGTTACAAACCGAATTTTTCTTGAGTTTGCATTATTATTATTATTAATATTATTATTGTTGTTGTTGTTGTTACTGTTATTAGTCATGCCAAAACCATCCATTACATTTGTCTAAATACAGCAAATGTAAGAAATGTTTTACTTTTGTTGCTGAGATTAAAATAAAAACATTGTATAGCTTAAAAAATGCTAAATACAAAGTTGAATAACTGTAAATATAAAGATGAATGTAAAATATTACATGTGCAGGTGAAGAATTTTTGCATTTTTACATGAAAAAAAAGTAAAATTTTGGCCCTGATTACTTTCTGCTTGGGGGTTTTGGACCTCGATGCAAAAGTTTGGACACCCCTTTATTACAATATTTTAACTTCTTTAATTAGGACAAAAACAATAAGCAGAGGAGAATTAAGCCCTTATTTATAATATAATATATACAATTTAAACATGTTAATGTTAAAGGGGCAGTTTTATCTGTTTTCCATGTGACATTTCACAGAACAATCAAATAACTGTTACTTGACATAAAAATGCTTTATATATATCAAATAGATGCGCCGTCTCTTTAAGAAGCTCCTGTTCTTTTACAGCAGCGCTCCTCCATTATGCCGTTATTAGAGCATTTCAGTGAGGAGCAGCTCGTATGATTAGCTCTGCAGACATTTAGCTCCACCAGGTTTCTGCTGACTGCTGCTGCCGCTAGTTTGGAGGGGTGGAGTGGGGGATTGGTTTCCATGGAGACGAAAGGATTTGCAACACTTCAGGCATGTTTCTGGTGAGGGAACAATAGCATACCCTCACTTTAGTACATTTCACTGATTTGCCAATAAAGTGGCTTAGAGTTTTATTTAGTCTGTTAAAACGTTTCTTAATGAAGAGTCACTGTTTAACACATTAAACAGTGTGTTAAATTCATGCACATTTTAATAAGTTGTGAATCTTAGAAAAATGAATGGACCTTTCTAACTGAATCCTATATCTGCTTTTTCTGCTGTGCAAACCCAAAGTTTCAGTTAAAGCTGATAAACGATGTTCTCTCTGCGTCGTCATGGCTCCGACTGTAAAACACAATAACACGGCGAGAAAAGCTTGTTGCAAGTTCTCACTATGTGACAAGTTATTCATGTTTGTTCTGTGTAAAGTTCATTTGTTCCAGAAAATTAAATTAATAATTAGCAACAAAAGGGACAGAATCATTTTCTTTCAATCATAAAATATATTTTTTTGCAGTCTACTGTATTATTGAGAGAGGAATCAGTCGTTGAGCTCCACATGGAGCAGAAACACATGGGGATGTTTGCAGCCACAGCGTGGAGGGAAACGATGTGGAAACGCGCTGTCGCCCTCGCAGAGCGCCGCCATGTTTCCCTCGTTCCCTGGCTGCGGCGGCCAGTTCACCGGTTCTGCCTCCAGGATCCATCCGTGAGCGGCTCAGAGAAGTCAGACATTTTCCAAAGGACAGAAATCTAATCAGTGTAAGGTGTGGATTTTATATGGACTTATATGTAAATTGTCTGCCATGTAACACTTTGTGTACACAAGTTTTTTCCTCCAAATCTCAGCTTCCTTTTGTTTCTCCACTTCTGACTCCTAATCAGTCGTTTACGGTTTGACTTACCCTGATTACATCACTAGATGGCGTCGCCGTTTGACCCAGTTACTACAGATAAAAACAGCGACACGCTGCAATGCCATGGATTTCATAACACTGTGAGACGGATGTATTAAATGTTTTTAGGTACAGAGTGAAAGCACAGCAGCTTTTAAATGTAAATGGTTTTGTTGTCAGTGGCTCCTTACAGACAACGTGTCTATCAGGATGTTTAGACAAGTCTCAACATCCAAACCTCCATAAATACCAACTATCAAAGTGAAGTTTTTCTCTGTATGTGAAGAGTTGTTCTGTTTTTGGGTTTTTTCTGTCCAGATGGAGGAAAGTTATTGTTAAATACTGGAGAGTGTAAATCCTGCTGCTGCTTCAAGGTCACTCTGAACTTGAGTGAAGGTTTCAGGTGAATGCTGTTTTATTTTTACTAAATGATTGGGAATCGCTGCAGGTACGTCCACCAAATCTCTCCTGGTTCAGCAGAAACATAAAATAATCTGGAAAACCTGCAGAGTTAACTCCCGGGAATCTCCCAGGAAACAGTTTTTTTGTTAAAAAGATCACAATCTTCCAATCTCCAACATGTTCCTCTGCTCTTCCTAATCTGATCTTGTTCTTTTAGAAAAGGAGGAAAACTAATTTTGGGCTTTTCAAGGGCAGCTGAAGGCGCCGCTGCAGAGTGTAGAAAGTTTCCCCTGCAGGTTGTAATCTCTGCACAAATCCAAGCATCAGCAGTAAACGCCCCCAGCGCCCCCCCCCCCCCCCCTATCCAAAAAAAAAAAAAGTGCCTTTTCTGATTCTCTTTTGTCCGTTCTCTCGCCTCTCGCCTCTGCAGCATCATCCTTCCTTCTCTTGTTTAGAGGTAGAAACGGCACCGGGGGGTTTATCTCTGAAGTGTGTGATTAATTTTCTGTTTTTGCGGCGCGTGCAGCCATTGTGGCGCATTTCTTACCTGAGCTCATTAGTGCATTGAAAGTTGTTTTCCTCCTTCCTGCCTGAACTTCATTACTTTTCCCTCCACAGTCTCTTTTCTTCCTCATTACCTTCCTTGCCCTCGCCATCCTCCTCTTCGCTGTATTTTTAAAACTCGTACTTTTCCACTTGCTAAAAGCGGATCAGAGGCCGATACGAACCACTGTCAGCTTGTCACCGGCGGCTCTGAGCTGGAATATAAATGTGGAGCGCTTTCTGAATAACAATAACTCCTCCAGTCTGCGTCTGCACAAATTTAACAGGAACACGCCGAGTCGAAAACATCCTGTGCTTCAATGAGCAACTGCTCCGAAACGATTAATCGTGATAAATCGATCAATGAAATAATCGTCAACTAATTTAGTAATTAATCATCAACTGGAGTACAGACTCAAACACTGAGTAGAAAATCAGGCAAACTGGACAAGATGTAAACATTTTCATGATGGTCGGTAAATCTGTTTGACCAGAACTTCTGAAATGACACTTTCAGCTTTTTTGGTTCAAATTCTGTTAAAAAATGAAATAATTTTTATTAAGCACCTTTTGCTATCCAATTAATAATTGGTTAATTACATAAACAGATCAGCTCCACACTGTATGGATGTGAAGGTTTGAGTTTTTCACATGTTGATGTTTGAAGGATTTTTAGCTACAACTGTTCACTAAACGATGTTATCGCAGTTTAGGCAATAAAATGTTTATTTTCTTGTTTAAAAAAGAAATTAAATTGTTTATTTTCATCTTGATTTGCTAATTCTCCACATACACAAAGGTAAATAATTTTTTTTAACTGTTTAAAAGCTTTGAAACACTGAAGTATTCAGCTCATTGATTGGTATTTGATCTAAATGTTTTATGTTTGAGTCGGAGCTGCAGGGACTTTTCTCTGCCCAGCCGTTTGCCTTATAGCGGTTCTGCCTCCTGTTAGCATGTCGCTAACTCTGAACGGTTAGCGACATGCTAACCATTCAGAGCGTGACTCATGCAACCCCAACATGAGGCAGCCTGGCCGAGTGTGGATGATGGACGGGGCAGCATGAGAGACACGCAGGAGGTCAAAGGTCAACTGTTCTGATTTGAGCAGGTGAGAGGAGAGATGTGGAAACAAAAGATCCACTCGGAAACTGATTTTAAAGACGTGTTGCATCTTATTGTTTACATCTGGAAGTTTTGCGCGTGTCCAACGCTGCTGAAGTAGAACCACTAGCTAAATGAAACCTGGAGCTGTAAGGATTATTAAGTTAGTGCAGTGAATAATAAGCATATTAAGCATTAGCTACCACTGCTATTAGCTAAGCTAACACAGCAGGTAGTAGATTAGCTACTTTAAACCCCCGCTCTACTGATGGTCTGTCAGAGTTGGTGTTGACGTCACCTCTTTTATTTTTAACGGAACCGAAATAGAATTCCACAGCACATCTACATGTTAAGATTGTCATAGTCAAGCTAGCATAACTGAGCTACTTTCCTCGTGCTATTTTTTCTTTACCTTCTCTGGCGGTCGTAGTGTTGACATATGGCATCAAAGCACTGCGTCTATTTTTCTTTTATGTATCAGGCGAACATTTCAGATTTGGCGTGTTATGTTGACAACTTAACAGCTAAAACCAATGCTACTCATGGTTAGCGAGCAGCTTCATGCTGCTGATCTCCAGTGTTTGGTCAGCTGGTTTTGCTGCTTTATGTCCTGTACAATGGCTGCTGGACACGACAAGACTTTAGTTGTTGACTCATCATCCAGAAACCACTTGCTGCATTTTGGTTGGCTGTGCAGGAGGCTCCACTAATGCTTTTCAAAGATGTACGGTTGTATAATTGTGCATCTGTTTGCAGCCATTTTAATGTGCGAGTGTAAACGTTGAGTTGGGGGTGTGGCCAGCAGCAGCTTGTTTGGATTTAAAGTGACAGAGACCCTAAAACTGCTCAGAATAGGCAGAACTGATAATTTACTGTAAAACATGAACGTTTTGTATATTTTGTATCGGCCGTAGATCTAACCTAACCTGCTCATCTTTCAGATTCCCATCCTGCTCCGATTGGTGGAAACATTTATTTTGCTAAAATATTAGTTATGGTTTTATTTCATCGCTGGATACTGATGCATCTATCGGTTTGTGTGAAAGAACAAACAAGCTAAAGAACCGTCTTTTTCTTGCCAAAATAAAACTGCAAAGAGGAAAATAAATACTAGGAGGATTCTGCAAATGAGAGAAAATCACAGCAACAGATGGAGGAGAAAAATAATTAGAGGATGAGAGAAGAAAACAGGAGGGGAAAGATGGTGAGTTACATGACAAATCATTCTATCAGACAAGCTCATTCTTCACTCTGCTGCTCTTTATCACAACACACACACACACACACACACACACACACACACACATACACACACACACCAGCTATTGGCTCTAATCTAACTCCTGTGGCAGTGTGAATAGATATGGCTGTTTAGTGCCAGCAGCTCCTGCTACCTGATGGCAGCAATCTGCTGAGTCAGCAGCTCTGGAAGAGAGTGTGTGTGTGTGTGTGTCTGTGTGTGTGCGTATGTGAGTGTGTGTGTGTGTGTGAGAGAGTGTGTGTGTGTGTGTGTGTGTGTGTGTGTGTGTGTGTGTGTGTGTGTGTGTGTGTGTGTGTGTGAGTGTGTGTGTGTGTGTGTGTGTGTGTGTGTGAGTGTGTGTGTGTGTGTGTGTGGGTGTGTGTGTGTGTGTGTCTGTGTGTGTGAGTGTGTGTGAGTGTGTGCGTATGTGAGTGTGTGTCTGTGTGTGTGAGAGTGTGAGGGTGTGTGTGTGTGTGTGTGTGCCTTTGGGAGTGAGCTCCTGAGCGACACAAAGGGGGGGAGAGTAAAAGTGTTTGTATTTGATTTAATTGAGCGTGTAGATGTGCGCCGCCCTCCTGGAGGATGAAGAGCGCCGCAGACGAAAGTTCACCGTCGTTACCGTTTAGTGGGGTTGCCATGACAACAAGCTTTCGCCCATGTCAGTGGCGGGTCGCGACTCGTCCAGCTGAAGAGGCTCCACATCACCAAACAGCCGTCATTCAGCAGGCGCAGTAAATAATAATAAAAATATGATAAAATATGTTTCATGTAACGACAAAATGGTCGTTACTCGACTTCCTGTTGGATTTTAACGAATCGTTCAGAAGCCGGTGGGTTTCTCTGGAGCTTTTCATCGAATTCATTCTGTTTTCACCACAGACACTCGTCCTCCTCCACTTCAAATATCATTATTGTAATTATTAAGTTTAAAACTTCCAGCTGCGTCTCACTGGGCCAGATGGGCAAATATAAATGGATCTGTTTGATGATTTTAATATCTGGGATTGATTGAGTTTTCCAGTGTTGATCATTTTGATCCTAAAGCAGTAAAACTAATTTTATTTTCCGTTTCTTGTCATTTTCAGTCTCATGATTCACGTTTCTTTCATAGGTTAGTAAACTCTTTGCTTCCATCAGCTTCTATAATCGATCGATGTCGACCATAGATGCATCACTGCAGGCGGTGAACTAATCAATCTCCCAATCAGATTTTTAACAAATTGACTATATTTAATATCCGTTTCCTGCTTTGTGCCAAAATGAATCCAGGGGCCAAAATTAAAACCCAAAAATATGACTGAGTTTTTCTCCTTTAGCTGCAAAACAGTAAATGAAACATGTAATGTTTTACGTTTTAATGAAAGTTTTCAGTCACTTAGCATTTAGGTTCATTATTTTCTACGGACGCTCTGATCAGTTTTTGCTGCCGATCACCGATCAAATGCCATGTTAGATTCGATGTGTATCAATCAACACATCAAATCGTGCTTTGGGGTGTCGTGCTTCACCCCCAGGTGATTCTCCACCGTACCTCACAAACGTCCCCAATCGGTTAAAGTTCCTCACTTCCGCAGTGAGAAGGAAACAGGAGAGCAGCTGCAGGCCGAGGAGGGAGATGCAGGTGATTGATCACCGATCGATCACCGATCATACGCTTTTTAACGGAAATCAGCTGATTATGATCGGTGGCCGATCGATCAGCACAGCTCTGCTATTTTCCTGTCTTTTAAGTCTATAAATGTTTTTAATTTATTCCCAGTACTGAAAAGACAAACTTTGCTGTTTTTAGCCAAATGTAGTGGATGGGTGGCCCAAGTCAATAGATGTGAGATAAAAATAAAAGCAAGAGCAATCTGTTGTATTTTACAGTTTCAGTTTAAGAAAAAGTAAAAAACTTTCCATTATAAAAACAAAGGAATCGGAGAAGTGCTGGAAGGCCACACAGAATCCAACCAGGGGCCACAAACGGCCCCGGGCCGCACTTTGAACACCCCTGATCTAAACCTTTACAATCATGTTTGTTTGTTTAAGAGAAATAAAATATCAGGCAATGTTCCTGGTGTCTATAGCGTGATTCTGTTGTGGAAACTCACTTCATCACGAGGAAAAGCACATTCAGATAATCACGCTGGCTTCGGCTCTCACCTGCAGCCGTTTCCTCCTCCAGCAGCTGGATCTGCAGGTGGAAGATTTTCTCCTGCAGGTCGCAGAGCGTCAGCTTCATCTTCTCCCGCCGGGTCACCATGTAGCACAGGTTACGCACCTGGAGCACATTTAAAGGCACAGTCACCCTTTTTCTACCACGGACGGCTCATCTATAAAAACACTGTAAGACAATAGATTGGTAGAATTTTCTGCTTCAATTCAACAAGGCAAAAGCAAGCAGCTTATAACTGCATATGTGATTTTATTTCTTGTTTTTTATGACAAAAACAAACGAAGTAAACAGCTGCTTGTTTCGCGCTGCAGGTGAATTTTCACTGACAAAAGATTCAAGCAAATTAAACTAAATATGACACAAAGTTTCTGTTTTTACTGATCAGGTTTTTATTTTCATTTTAAAGCAAAACATCCAGTGATTTTTATCCAGAAGTCGACTTGATGCCCAACATTTCCTGTTTCTAGAAAAAATGTAGAACAATTTAATATTCCTCATAAAAGTGCAAAAAGGTGGATCCATTTTTACTGTTTCATTGAAAATACAGTTTTTTCTCTAATTGTGTTTTTTTTTATAACAATTGGCTAAAAATAAACTGCAGAAGGTGAAGAAATAATTTGGATTTCTGTCTTTGCTGATATTAATGTCATTTCAGACAAACGTGGATGATTCAGATTTTTAATATTAGGAAATAAGTAGCGACACCAAAAATGATTCAAGTTTAATAAAATCCATATTTTACAACTGAATATAGACCTTTTTAAGAAACTGATGTTAATGATGCATAAGTGATCAACATGTCGATCTGCCAACATAAATCAGTTTTTAAAAACCAACTAAGCTTCCTGCTCCTGTTCTGAGTGACTGCGAGCATGTGGTGGTTTTTCCGACTCGTTTCAGCAGGAATCCTGACGCCGTCATGGCTGCATGTTTCTGGCTGCAGGTCAGAACCGGAGGCTGAATTATCGCGTTTCGGTTGAGCTCATGCAGACGTTCAGAGGATCTGTTGCTGCTTTGCTTCAGCAGGAAATGAGAAACGAATCCAAACTAATGGAGACAATCAGAAACGGAGCCAAACATGGAAAAAATGATTTCTGGAGTTTGTCAGCAGCTCCACAATAATTATTTTATGGGTTGATTTAATTATTACAGAGCATCACTAAATACAGGCACTTTAAACAGTTATGATTGTTTAGTTATTTGTTTAGTACAGAGAGAATTAAACTGGAGTAAATTCAACATTTTAATATTATTCTGGCCAGTATAAACAGAAATGGATCGTATGAGTTTACATTGCTGATACAGATCGATCTTTGATCTCTGATCGGGTTTATCCGGGTATTGTTTTGTCCAAACAGCCGAGGGGCGCCGCAGGGTCACGCTCTATCTGCCGGTCCGGACGGATCCAGTCCACAGAAACACACCGCAGATAAAAATAGCTCCCAACTGGGACACAATGTGCAGAGCCTGGCTTTGATTAGGACACAGAGCGAGTGCCGATTCACATCCAGCAGAGGAGAAACGGAGCGAGAGGAAAGAAGAGAGTCTCTGTTTTCATTCAGGAATGATAGAAACAAGCTAAGCTAACCATGCTAGCAGTTAGCAGGAAATAAAGCTGGTTAAATCCCAGAGACCGCTGGCTGTTTGAGGAGATTTAAACTGCAATTAAAAACTCTGATCCATCAGTCGGAGCAGCCAGGATCATTGGATCACTTCCTGGTTCAACAGGAAGTTCATACCTGGGCTGGAGAAGAAGAGCAAAGAAAACAGGAAGGAAAAATATCGCCAGCCAGTCGTGCAATTTTTTGTAGGTTGTATAGAAATGTTTTCCATAAAATCACAGATTTGATTTTTATTCCTATTTTACAAACAGGTTAAAAACAAACTGAGAAATGATTCTGATTATCAGACAAACTGGATGCAGACGCGTTCCTAATCACTGTCTGTTGTTTACGCTTCTGCAAACCAGCTAATAAATCTTTATATTCAGAAGTTTCTGTCTTGAGTAGAAATATAAGCAAAAAGTAACTAATTATATTTAAAGAAAGGAAATAAAAAAGCTAAGAAAGACTTTCTGTGTTTTTCTGTCAATTGATTTGAGCCTCTGAGTTTCCAGTATATCGACTAACAACCAGCATCGACTGCTCACACACACACACACACACACACACAGAGAGAGAGACACACACACACACAGTACTGTGAGTAAGTAGGCAGCTACAGATCAGTATTATTGATGTGTAGCTCATTTTTTTATTTATTTCTAAATTAATTTTTTTTATAAATTTTTTATAAATGCTGGCAAGACTCTAATTATCTCTGTGTTTTTAGGCAACACCAAAGTTCCCAGATTGATCGGCAATAAATGATTCCTTACTGAAATAAAGAATCATTTATGCTGATGCATAATTAAAGTACAATGCAGAACTACTAATAATTTCATATTGTCTTGGGTAAAAATAAGGATTGAAACAAACAGATTTGGGTGGAAGCAGCTGATGAGTAACAGACTCAACAATGAACCAGAAAACTTCTTTAGCCAAACATCCACCAAACCCAACAAACGACTTTATAAACTCTGGTGTAAATGACACCACAGTTAAATATCACTAGTATTAATATGTATTCCTTAGATAAATTGTCAGTTTATGACAGATTTGGTCAGCTTCAGTATTTCTACTTAAATCAGGATGAGTGTTAATCTTGTTTCCCTTTAATCAGCAGCAGAGGGAGTTTTTAATCTGACCTGAAGCTGAGCAACAAAATCAGACGTAATGCAAATTAAAAATAAACATTTGGCCCTAATATGAGACATACGCATGAAAAAGGATTAAGGGCATGTAGAAAATAAAGGAGGGCATTAGGGAGCGAGGAGAAGTGGACTGAAGGAGAAGAGAGGATGGAGAAGAGGCAGCGAGGGAGAAGGGAGGAAACGGGGAAAGTGGGTCAGAGCAGCGAAGGATTCAGCCGACTGAAGCTTCATGAAGCTGATGTGCAGAAACACACAGCCGCCAGATAATCAAGCCCACACTCCAAAGTCTATCACTTATGCACAAACACACACAAACTACATGATTTATTAGCTCCTGCTGCTGTCGCCTTAGCCCCGCCCACCTGGGGGATCCATGGCAACATCGCCCACCAATCAGAGAGCAGATGTTCAGCTTCGGCCTCTTGTCTCCATGTGCCGTTTCCCTCATTACTGGGGCTTAAAATATTTGTTTTGCTCCAAAGTGAAAACCTTTAATGTGTTTAAAGCCTGAATGTTCACACACACACACACACACACACACACACACACACACACACACACACACACACAGGTGTGTTTTAATGAAGCACTCTGTGGATGTGCCATGTTGGATCACAGCAGATTAGCTTCTATCTGACTGACGTTTTGAAACCAACATAAAAATAAAAGCCTCCACGCATCAGCAGACGTAAACCTGCAGACAGAACTGGAGGCGAGTCCGTTTGTGGAAGAGCCTGCAGTTCTGAGCTAAATCATTTTTCCTTTACAAATTACTGATTCTTGCATTTTTGTCATTATGGACACAGAAACTTCTCATATGTGACGACGCTGGAGCGCAAAAGACGATTCTTCATAATTTAGTGAAGTGCGCCGAAGCAAAGGGAAAAATGACGTAGAAAAACTCAGCTACTCATTTTCTCCTTTCTTTCTCGCGCTCTGCGTCGGCTACGCTACACACAGACTTGTTGCCATATCAACTGACACAGCACTGCTGATATTTCAGGATTCAACTCCAAAAAACGCTCAGACGTTTCTAAAAGAACAGAACATTCAGCTGGTTACAGTTTTGTTTGCTAAATGTTTATTTTACAATTATTAATAAGTTCTTGCTGTGGTAGATTAGCTACTGCTGCTATTAGCTAAGCTAAATTAGCTAGCCGACCACCGCTGCATTAAGTACCTGCTCACCTGTCAGAGTTGGTGTTTAGTTTATTGTCTAACTGAACTGAAACACAGAATCCCACAGCTCATCTACATGTCAGGCTAGCATAACTAGCCTACTGCCCTCTCCCTTGATATTTTTCTTAAAACTTCTTCCTGACCTTATCTAGTTATTGTAGCGTTGACAATTAGTAGCAAATCACTGCGTTTCTTTTTCTTTTATATATCATGGATACATTTGAGATTTAGCGTGTTATAAATCTCATAACGGATAAAACCAATGCTAGTCATCATTAGCAGGCCGTCACGCTGCAACGGGTCCACATGTTCAAGATCAGACAAATTTTAATATTAGGTTAGCTGCAAAATGAAGCTTCCAAACGCCCCTAAACCTAATAACCTTCAGCTATAAACATGAATCCCCTCTGCTAGCATGTTGTGCCTTCATATTTCAACTTCCCAAGCCGCATTTTCTTTTGAATGTTTTAATGTGGTTTATAAAAGATCCACAAATAGGCAAATCTTCCATGAATAACCGAACCGTGAAACGTTAACGATTCTCTGCATTTCCCTCTGGCCTGGAAACACAGGGATGGACGGCTGCAATAAAAACTCACGATGGCAATAAAATACCTTGAATCTGTTTGGTGACTTCAAGGGTTTTCAAGGACTGAAATAAAAGTGACATTAACTTCCATCGCACATGAAACAGTGGGAGCCTTTGGAGCATGTGCAAAGGTCTCAAAGTGAGGCAGTGGATTATTGTCCTGGACAGATCGTAGCTGAGGGGCGTCGGCACGGCTTAGTCAGAGGATTTGACTGGACCACATCGGCCTCAAATTTGCAGAACGGCCCCAGGCTTTGCTGCCAGAGCTCCAAGAAAGTGATTTCAATAACACACACCGACACACACCGACACTGCATCCCACCAGCATCACGAAGGCAAACAGGATCCAAATGCTGCTGCGGTGACCAATCCATGCTCTTCGTTTCCAGGCAGTGTTGCTCTCATCTGCATCCTTTAACCTGGTAATAAATGATGACCTGTCATGCTAACTGATGGTGTTTAAACCTCTACAGACTTTGATAACAGCAGAAACAAAACGGAGCCTGTTGAACTCCTCAGGACAGTAAGACTTGATTCATTAACTTCTTTCTTTGTAGTATCGTCTTTATAAATCAGGAGCAGATG